ACTTTTTTTTTATCAAAAGCCCACTTAAATGCAAATTTACTTCTTTTTTATTGATGTACTTTTACATCTTATTATCAATGTAAATATGCATTAGAAAGTACATGCAAGTAAATCTTATTATCAAGCCATACATGGAATGAAAATATCATTTGCCATACATGCAAGTGAGCTAGAGTGCAAATTTATACTGAACTGGGATTTACACTCCATTTGCATCATTTCCAGATGCAGCCTTAGGGGACTTCATGTATGGCAAATCATTCCCTTGCTTTGACACTATGGCTGCATAATTTGCACTGATGCAAAATTATGGTAGTTCAAATTGTAGGGGACTTCATGTGTGGATTCATTCCTTTGCTTTGACACTATGGGTATATATATATATATATATATATATATATATATATATATTTATATACAAAACTATGCAGTGCAAATGATTATGGTGCAAATTAATTTTGATTTATTTTTGTTTATAATGATACTTTAATTTGCTTGATTGTAATGCAAATGAAATAAAATGAGATATGAAGCAGAATAAAGTGAAACCCAAAACAAAATTAAACCATAATTTGCATTTTTTTCATCTGCACTCCCTATCATTTTTATTAGTGTAAATAAAATTGCATTGCAACCAAATACAGCCTATGTGCAGCATTGGGAGAAGTAGCTAAAGTCTACAACTAGAGTTGTAAAGTGGTTTGGGCCGCCTATGGGCTATGCTAGGCCCTGGTTAGGGTTTTGAGCTTGGCACGACACCCACACCCACACCCACCCACACATAATATGTATATATACATGTATATCTAATAATAATTACATATACATATTATATACTCATATATAATAATATATTAATATGTATGCATATATATATATATATATTATGTATATAATTTTATTTTCAATTTTATTATACTGTTTTATTCCAATCTTATTATAACTATTTTTCAATTTCATTTTATTATTTTATATATAAATAATTGCATACTTTAAAATTCATATGAAATAAAATTTTAAGTTGTTCTTTTTTCTTTCCATTTCTTGTCTATCTTATTAATTTATTTAAAATTTTCATTTTTTCGAAAAACACAGGCTGACCTGTGGCCCGGGCCTTGGACCATGTTGGGTTTGTTTCTTGGGGATTCATGTTGAGCAGGCATGGCCCACCAAGGCCCGCCTGTATGTCACAAGCCGTTATAATGCATGTGGCCAGCGAAAAGTGGGTGTGCCGGCATGACACTGCCCACATTACACCTCTACGTACAACCAACCTAATACAAAGTTTGGAGGTGGATTTCAAGTAGGTTCTAATGTGTTATGCTGCTATTATGCAATTACTCTTGTAAAGGGCATTTTTATTAATGCCTTAGGCTGTGTTTGGAAACAATGCAAATAAGTGTGAATCTAAATATGTAGAGTGTAAAATAGTCTATATAAATTGTAAAGTTGGGTTAGTTTTATACCAATAAATTTATTTTTTTACCATATAAATTTTTAGTTGAAACACTAATTCTAATAAAGCATATGTCTTTTTTTTTTCTCAAGAGTCCAGTTGAATGCAAATTTACTTCTTTTTTATTGATGTACTTTTACATATTATTGTCAATGCAAATATGCATTAGAAAATGTATTTTCTGTCATTTGTCAATGAATAATTGTAATGTTGTCAAACACAAACAAAAGTGAACCAAAGTACAAATTTACCCAGTTCAGGATTTATACTCCATTTGTATCGTTTCCAAATGCAGCCTTAGAGAATTCCAAGCCGTCTGCCTATCCAATATCCAGATCACCGGTTCAAATATCAGGTTTTACTCATGGTAAGAGTTTGGTAAAAATGAAAAAAAAAAAAGACAGCCATTTGCTGGGGCTTTTAATGGCTGGAGTCACTGAACCGAATGGCTTGTTGCATTCACTATAGTAATCTACTAACCTCAGCTTCAACCATTAAGGAGCCCATGATCATCTTTAAAAGCTTATTCACTAAAAAAAGACAAAGCCATAAGTCTGCAGTTCAGCCACTTCATCTACTATCCCAAGATAAGCCATCCCAAAAGTGCAAAAAAGTTGAATTCAGCTTTAGCCATTAAGGACCCGGAGCCTATAAGTTATAACTTCTTTTAAAAAGCTCTTTCACTAAAGACAAAGCAATAAGTTTTCAATTCGGCCACTTTGACTCGGATGGTTGGATTGTTAAATCCAGAAACTGTTCAAGCAATTGGTTCTTTTTTACCCCAAACTCAGTCTTTGGCCAAAACCCTTTAAATTGGTCAACGACCCATTAATTTGAGTGGTCAAACCATTGACTCATTTGATCTGTTCAACGGATTTTGGCCATTTTTATTTTTATTTTATTTTTTTTAAATTTTTTGTCAGAATAAGCTATCCATTTAAATCGGACGGTCGACCCGTCAACTCTGAAATCGATGACAAGAATAGTTCCAATTCCAGGTCGGTTTTTGAAACATTGAAATAAACCATAATGCATACTAAAAGTGTAAGAAGTGGGAGTTCAGCTTTTGCCATTAAGGAACCCATGACCTCTTTAAAGCATGGTTTTCAAAATCGGACCGGAACGGATGGTTGGACTGGAAAAACTGGGAACCAATCACCTGATAAGTTCCGTTTTCCCCCAAAATTGCTTTTTCCCCCAAAACCGTTGATTTTGGTCAACAAAATATTGAACCAGCCGATCAATCGTTCGAACGGTTTTGACCATTTTCTAATTTTTTTGTCAGAACAAGTCGACCGTTTGGGTCAAATGGTCAGACCGTTCAAACCGATCTAGACCCCTGACCGCTTCAATCACTGGTTCGTTTTTAAAAACCATGCTTTAAAGTCTTTTTCACTGCTACCCCCGTTTTGTATAACCCTTTTATTTTTATCAAAAGTAAAAATATTGTTTTTCACCAAAAGACAACAATAAATTTTGAATTCAGCCACTTCAGGAGTTATTCCCAAGATGAGCCATACACACACCCAAAGGCTCAGTTGGTTTCATTGGTGCAATTGGTATGGGAATGAGAGTGCAAATAGGTTCAGTGCATAATCTGATTTACTTTTGTTTTAAATTCGACTAACATGGTCCCCATTCTATGTGACAGAATTGATGCAGGAGGAAGGTAGTTCAAAATTTACATCAGTTTTTAAGATGCAAAATTTGAACTGCCAATGAGACAAAAAAAGTACATATTAGAGAGGAGTGTAAAACATATAATTATAAAAATATGGATATAAAACTGAACTAAGTGCAAAGTTTGTATCTGATTCAAATTTGTACTACAAGCAAATAGAGTCAAAAGTGCAAAAAAAGTAGGAATTCATTTTTGTCCATTTTACATGGAAATTCAAGAAGAGTGAGAGAAAGAGGACCAAATCAACAAAAGAATGGGCCTGACATGGACAAAAAGCTAGACAGATGGCTAATGCATGATGGGGGAATAAAATGGGATTTAGATCGGAACCCTTTCCTCTGCCATCTACAAGATTCATGGGCTGTCAAGCAAATCTGCTTTTTACACATACCAAAAGGCCAAACTAGAAAAGATTGATTCATCCACAAAAAGCACAAATGGATGGAAGTAGGCCCAGAAGAACTGTTGAAGAAAATCCAGCAAAGAGCATGAAAAAAACAGTGGGTCCACCACAACAGGTCCAATTCAAGTCTCATAGGTGGAGGAGATCTTCTAATGGGCTCCACCAAGGTCCAAACCCTAGTTCCACTGAAACGTCAAAAGAAGTGTACCAAACTGGCAACAAAAGTGTACTACAACAAATGCCGTTAGTAGACCCTACCAAGAGACCTCTGTAACTAGGCAACGAAGATAGACAGAGATACATAGAAACCCTAAAAATAACAAACAACAACCATCAATAATAAACAATATTAATTAAACGGGGGTATTGATCAGTGGTGACTGGTGGGTGTATAACAATAGCATGTATTAAATATTATCAAATGGGGTTGGTTGGTCAAGGATCAAAACCCCAAAAAAAACTCAAACCCTAAAAGCTGGTAAGGGAGGAGTCTTGTAACTTGGGTTGGTTGGTGGGTGAGAGAGAGAGAGCCAGAGAGAGTAATAGGAGACTTAGTCTAAAATGATAAATGCAGTATTAACTCCACCAGCTGCTGTTATGCAACCACGTCTACCTCAAGTCGGTTCTTATCCTTTAATGTGAGAGATGTGCCGTTTACACCGGGAGTCAATACGACACGTTTTGCTAATATCACGCCATCCACCCCATTTACCACATAATCTTAATAATTTTCATTATTATTGCCTTTTGTTTCATTCATTCTTTTTTTTTTTTGATTTATATGGATTTTTGTTTTTTAGGGCTGATATTTGTTCGTTCATCATCTTCGTGAACATCAAATCAATATAACAAAAAAAAAAAAAAAAGAGACCAACCCAGAAAAGGATTCTTTAATGAGTTTTTAAGGGTTAGTGTGTATACGTCTCATTTGGCATTTGCTCTTGTTTGAATAAAAAAAAAGCATTCTTTGAGGTGGGTTCTGTTTATTTATCTTTTTTAAGATTTAAGAAGAATTTATTTTCTCTCTCTGTAAGCTTCTATGTGGGAAAGAAAGAAAAGAAATTATTTATTTTATTTTTTTCGTTTGGGCTTCTTATATTTCCATTTGTTTGAAATAGCATTATGGGTTAAAGATTAGGAAGAGATATAAGGAAACGAAAATGAAATAATTTATTGGGTTCTTTGTCTTCCATGAAAGAAGAAGGACAGTCTGATTTGAAATTTCAGGAGGTGGTCTGGTGGTGGAGTGGTCATGGTTGGTTGTGCTGTCATCAAGGTAAAAATGTATAAAGGAGGAGGGAAGGGGGTCTGAAAATCCATTAAAATAAGCTGTTGTTATATCTTATTTTGGATGTTTGTTTTAAAGTTAAACACAGTTTTCGATTGAACAGTGTCAGGGGGAATAGAGGAGGGGACTTTGTCATATGTAAAATAATACACAAAGTTAATGTCATGTCTCTGTATGTCAGTCACTGGTTGGGCAGGGAGGGCAATAGAGCCCCTCGTATTGTAGCCCTGTTGAGTGGTCTTCGCTTGCTTGTGGTGTTATCTTTTCATTTGTCAAGAGACTCAAGACCCCCCTAATGGTCTATGGAGTAAAGGACCTGAAGGGTCTCTCTCTGGACTCTGTGTGAAGGGTTGAAGGGCATTCATGTTTAGTACTCTAAGGGGTGATTCATGGCTGCTTTGCCAGCTTTGCCGTATAATAGAGATTTCTTGGGTTTTGCATCTCTCTACCTGGTCACAGGGAGTCATCTGGGTTCTTTTCCAGCTATTCGTCGGGGTATTCCCTTGGCGTTATTTAGAATATATATTCAAAATAATTAGCACATTTTCATGCAATGCCTGTTATTTTTTTTTTTCATTTTTATTTTCTATGATTAATGACCGAATAAAATATAAATGCTTTCGATGTTTCTAAGTTATCTTCTTTAAACATTTATGGGTTTGTTTCTCTTCTCTCTTTTTAACTCTGTTTCTGGGCGACTGGGCCTTGCATGCTGGTGGGTATGGCGGTTATGTTTCTTATTCTCTGTGTATTGTTTGCTGGTTTTTTGTTCTTCTGGTTTTGCATGCAATCCAATGCGGCTGCATTTCAACGTTGTTGATGGGTTTTGTTTTGTTTCTTCTGCTTTTAGCTATATTGTGGTATTTATTTATTGAGTGGCTGTTTTGTTTATGGAATGACAGCAACGACAAGCATTCAGAGGATTGTCTATTTGTCTATTTGGAAGTAACGTGGTTTTGAGTTATGGTTGAACGGGGTAGAGAGGCAGAGGAACGTGTGGGTGGTAAGAGGGAGTTAACAGCGGTTTCCCCATCTACATATTACGACAGCCCATTACCAATAAGAGAAGCGCCACCAAACTTCCACCTTTATCCCCCAGCTCTTGCAAAGTATCAGGATGTTGTAGCTAATCCAACGCTCTTCATGGATACTCTACAGAAGCTTCATGCTGCTATGGAAACCAAATTCATGTGAGGCTGATTTATCTTGGGTTACTTTCCATCGTGCAAATTTAATGTTCTTCTTTCTTTCTTTCTTTCTTTCTTTTTTTTTTGTCAAGCACAAATGCTATATTTGGATTTTGGTTTAGTTGTAAACTTCTTCTTTCTTCTGTTCTGTTTACATGTGCAACGGACTTAACAAATCAGAATCAGGGTCCAGAGGGCCCAGTAGTTAATGTTGGTTGTAGGGATAAGATTTTAGAGGAATCTCTCCTTGTTTAAAAGATGGATACTGTATTTAATTAGACATAAATGAGTTGGATTAACTTTTTTCTTCTATTTCTTCCTTTTTTGCATATACAGAACTTTATAGATATGTCACTGTTGATTCTCCATACTCAGCCAGTAGCTGTATTTAATTATGTTGTTTTCTGGACTGAGGTATGAAGAAGTATAATGTATAGACTAGTGCCTGTGAATGATGCAGACCCTTAAACTGTCAGTAACACCATAGGCTCAGGGTCTTGCATTGGAAGATACATTCCATTCCCTCAATGTAGGTTATTTCCTTCAATAACTGAAAAGGGGCAGCAGAGAAGCCAAATATTTGGTTGCATAAAGGATGTCTCTAGCTATTCTTATGGGGTCTTTCTGATTACCACAACTTGCTGTACTGCTAACATGAATGTCATGCTTTTTCCCTTCAATTGCCAATAAGTCTTGTTTAAGATCTTTTAAGTGCATTATGAGCTTTTAGGGATAGACACGCAATAAATACTGTTTTTTATTGGAGGCTCTAGGTCATGGCTTGATTCAGCTTAGTACCAAATGAAAGCATCTAACTTTGTTCTTCATGTAGAGAAGTTTTGCTTTGGAAAAGATTTTGTTAGTAATTGGATAAAGTGAAACATGGAAGCTTTTATAGGTGCATTTTGGCCATTATTAAAAAATATGGATTCACTGCCAGGGGTGTGGGGTGGGATATTCACATGCATAAAAAAAAGGATTCCATTGTGTTTGAAATGTATGGAGCTTACTGGCCTGCTGGTTTATATGCAGGGCAGAACCAGCGGGCTTGGGTTTTTTTTTTTTTTGGGGGGGGGTTGTTCCTCATGAGTCTCCTTCAAGTTCTTGACATGCCTGCCCATGCAGTTTGAGAAGGATTAGTCCTTAATTAGCTTCACAATAGGTATTCTCTAAACTAAAAAGTTAAGGCTGATGATGAATTAAAAAAATTTAAGGAATCCTTATCTAATTACTTGAATCACTGCTGGTTAGTTACTGTTATATAAGAAACAAACAACCTACACTTATGCAACATTTGCATGTGTTTTCTCCCTCTGAGCAGCCGCTTGCTAACAGCTGAAATGTCTGAATGAAAAGCTTATTGCGTTGCCTTTTAGTGAAAAAGTTTTTATGGTGGTTGTGGGCTTCTTAATGGTTGAAGATGGAACTCAATAAATTACTATACCCTTGAATGTTTTTATTATTTAATTATTTTGTTCACTAAGGCTATATTTGATTTGAAGGAAAAAGTAGGGAAAGGAAAGGAAAGGTAAGGAAACCTCTACAAACCTTGTATTGGTTTTGATACCTTTCCCTTCCTTTCCCTACCTTTTCCTTCAAACCAAACATTGCCTAAAAGACAAAGGAATTAATCATTCATTTGAGTAACTTCAGTCATTATCACATAACCACTTACTAGGAGATCTGGATGATCTTTTCTCTTTTGAATTAAGTTTATACCCTCTTCCCTGTCGATACAAAATAAAAGAAAAACCTACATTTAAGAGAATCATGGTAGCCCACGTATGGGATATCAATCTTGTTCTTAATTTATTATCATGGTAATAAATTATTTAAGGTATCAAAGTTAATCTTGGTTGTAATTGTGATTTTTTTAATATCTTAATGGAATGTTTTGTTTGATCATAAAAGTTGGGATACACAGTATCACAGTATCAAAGTTAATCTTGGCTGGATTCACTCTTTTCTTTATCTTTTTTTCCTCTTCTTCATAAAAGACCTGTTAGATGTCACAGTATCACAGTATTGATCCAGACCATGAACATTCTTTTTATTTTTCTATACATCTACATGCATATTTATATGCATTGTACGTTGTCCTCTCAACTGAGGTATGGGGAGTTATAAGCTGGAGGCTACCATCTCTTGATTTCATTTGTCATTACCATGTTGAAACTTCTCTAGCGTGCCTGTGAGTGATGCAGACCCTTAAGCTGCCTATAACACCCGAAGGTCCAATTTATGCCATTTGTAATGATACAGATGCTTAAGCTGTCAATAATGCCCGATGATCATGCATTGGGAAATTTATGCCATTCCTGATGTCATTTCATTTCCTTAAATTATTCAAAAGAGACGATCCAAATACTGGTCACATAAAGAATGCATCAAGCTATTCATTTGCTATTATTCTGATTTCCACATCTTGATATTGTTCTGGTCATGACCATCTTGCATTTAACTCTTATTTTAAGTTTCTAACAAGTACTGTAGGCGGTAAAGGCACAAAGCCTTGAAAATCCTGTAACTTGGAAAGCCAATCAAGCATTTCATTAGTTTATGAGGATAATCACCATAATTCTAATAAACTCTTTGGTTGGTTGAAATCTAGGTAATAATTTATACAACCTGCTACAAATAAAAATGGGTTTGATTATGATATTGGAAAGACATGATGTCGGAAAAACTTACAGACAATCAACCGGTATCATAAGGGGGTGACCAATCAGGTGGTATTCATCAAAATTCACGGGGTGCTTTGATTGGTCAAAGCTCTTTCGATACCATGACTTTCTGGTAATTTGTACTCTTAGGCTGTTTATCACGCAAAGAAATTTTGTTCAAGAAGTGATTCTCTTTACTTTGTAGAAAATGAGAGGTCAAATGTGGTAGGTTTTTATTGTTGTAATTTGTTCAGTAAGACCATTAAAGTTACCTTGGATTTAGAAATATATGATCCTTRTTCATTTTATTACTAGCCTTGTGGTATAAGCATGAACAAAGCTTTGGTGGTAGTTTGGTTTGAAAGAATCCCCTTCCACCATGGCACCCCAAATTCTACAAGTACTCTATGCATCCCCCCCCAAAAAAGAAAGAAAATAAATTTATGGCCCCTCTACAATTTAAGTAAGGTTAGTACTTAATGTAGCCCCATAATTTGAGAAACATTGACACTAATTCTAGTATTTAATGTATGTGTGTTAATCCATTTTAATATATGCTATATATAAGAATTATACTTTGTTTTAATGTTTTACTATTGAAATTTAAAAGATCAAAGGGTTATGAGAAGAGAAAAAGAAGGAAAGAAAGAAAAAAGAAAGAAGTATAAAGAGGTTCTTTTTTTCTATTCTCTCTCTAATTAAATAAAACATAAATTCCGTCCTTGTTTTTAATATTTTACTTGCAATCAGTCTTGAATATTTATCATATAAAGTTACTAACCTTCTTTAGCTGCTAATTTATATGAAGCTCTATCAAATACTTATTACAGTAGTATTATTTTTGAAAATAATGAAATTAATATATGTAAAAAATTTGTCTCTTTTAGATGTGGTGATTTTCCACTTTTCACTAGGGAACTAGTGAGAAGTTAGTTCTTTATATAATGTAATTCTTATCGCCTAGGCGTTGCCTAGGCACCCGCCAAGGTGACTAGGTGATTAGGCCTCCATGTTGCCCATAATCGCCTAGATGCCTTGAAAAGTATGTGAATAGTTTTTGCTTTCTCTTTTAGTGAACTGGTTATTAAGGATGAGCTCCTTAATGCCCGAAAAGTTGTGCTGACTATGATACCCTTGAACTTTTTTTTGATCAGCAATACCCTTGAATATTTTATTATTTAATTATTTTACCGGCTAAAACACAAAGCAATACGGCATTTAATTCAGCCCCTTATGCCATTATCAAATGGTTCCTAAGCATATAATATTAATTATAACAAATTATCAAGTATTCTTTGATAGAAGGATAAATGATAAAGCATTTTAATGGATGGTAAGTCTTTGGTTGACAAGTGTGAGAATGTGAGTTTGAGTGAGAGAATGACCTTTTTGTGGAAAAAAGGACCAAATGTTAGGTCCATATCCAGTTTACCTGTCCTAAGACCCCAAATATCTAGGACCAACATTGAGTAATGGCCTTTTAATAAAGTATCAACTTTTATAAATTTATCATTCATGTTGAGATAAAGGAAACATTTCTTTTTGATCAATAACAAAATCACTTATTAATTAATCATCATGATAAATGAAATATATCAGGAAGTTGCAAGAGAAATGTAAAGGGACCTATAGGAGTCTCTAACCAGTCTTCAATTAAGATATCCCAATAAACTTGAACCTTTTAATAAAGTATCAACTTTTATAAATTTATCATTCATGTTGAAATAAAGGAAACATTTCTTTTTGATCAATAACAAAATCACTTATTAATTAATCATCATGATAAATGAAATATATTTCAGGAAGTTGCAAGAGAAATGTAAAGGGACCTATAGAAGTCTCTAACCAGTCTTCAATTAAGATATCCCAATAAACTTGAACCTTCATATGCCTTGCCAGCCCATTTTCTATGGAAACAGGCCTTAGCCAATGTAGATCTATTTTGCCCATCCCTGACCTAGCTATTCTGTCAGCAAGATCACTTGCCAATCTTTTGACTAATGAATAAGATGTTTTAGCCTCTCTAATGAAGTGTCATTTACTGAAGCTTTTTTTTGATAAATAGCATTTGGTGAGGCTTCATTATTCATCCACTTGGTAATAACTTGAGGATCTCCTTCCACCTCAAAATTCTGAAAACCCAATGGAACATGAGTACCCAATTCCTAACTCCAAAAGATCCTGAGTAAATGATAAAGTACCTCTAGTTTGAATTTCTGAAACATTCCTAACTCTTGAATTTTCTAGATTTCCAAGAGAACAAGTGAACAACTATGAATTTCAATTTGATGGTCCTTTGAGAAGGCAAATCCCAATGTGATGATGTGAGTTTGTTTTTTAATGAATCTGTAGAAGCCTCATGCCTTTTTGTCATAATATCATTTAGTGGGAAACTTGTAAAATCTTCACTTGTGAGAAGCTGATGGGCCACCTTAGTATGAAACTCATCAATGTATACAGTAAGTAATTTTAACAAGAAAGTTCTAGCTTACCTCTCCTCTCAAATAGACCAAACTCCAAATACCTGATGATCTTGTACATATCCACTTGATTTTCTTTCTTTGTAGGGGTTAAGAATGTTGAAGCAGACATTGATTATCAGTTGGAACAATTGATTGAGAACCAAAGAGAAACAAAATAAGCTAATCTTATCATCCTCCTCATCATCTAAGCCTCTTGTCTTGACCATATGGGGTCGACTACATGAATCTTGTTTCACAATTCCATTCTATTAAGTGCCATATCCATTGTTATGAGAACGAAAAGATAATTCAGGATCCATGATCATAAGAGTTTGGCAAAATTTTTAATGCCGACTGCTAACATGACACAACTCTCCTTGTATAAGAAGCAAATTGGTTGCCTTGTCCTGGGGAGCTTTGGGAGGTATRATAATAGTGTGGAAAAGGAAAGAATACATTGCATTAAAGTGTTGGTAAGGAATTTTGCAGTATCTGTAAAGTTGAAGAGTGTTGAAGATGGGTTTGAATGGGCCAAACTCTTAGGGAGAGATATTTGATGTGGGAAGAGCTTGTAGATGTAACAGAGCTTTGGGATGGCTTTGGTGTTTAGGAGGAGACTTTAATGTGATCAGATTTGTTAACGAGTCAAATAATGCAAGGCAAAGGGTACTATCATGAGGAAATTTAATGATTTTATTGATGCCTTTGAGTTGAGAGGAATTCCTTTGGGACAAACTAGGTTAACATGGTCAAATCTTCAAGATTGGGATAAAGCGGCCTCTTGAGTTTGAGGAGTACTTTGCTTAGGATTACTTCTAATCATTGGCCTATTTGCCCATTTCAGCAGAGTACTATAGGAGGCCCTACTCCTTTAGATTTGAAAATATGTGATTTATTCATTTGGAATGAAAAGGTGAGAGAATGGTGGGGAGTGGCCATTAAGATATTTAGGGTTACCTCTAGGTAATAAACACCTGATTGGTTAGTTTTTGGAATCTAGTGGTGGAAAGAATTGAGAAGAGACCATCCCTTAACCCAAGTGCAGGTGGGATTCGATCCCAAGTCTTCACTACAACCAATAGGAGACCTTACCAACCCGCTGGTTGGCACCTTGCTCATTTACATTATTTTTCAACATTTCCTTTCTCACCTTTGTAACTAATCAAACCCAAAATGCCATTTACTTGTTAGGAAAAAGCCCCTCTTTCTCTCATTTCACATCGTACACATTAGAAGAATACGTAGATACTTCATTTACTTCATCTCTCCCTATTAAGAAATAAGAAGAAAGTCCATCTTTCTATTGATATTTATCTTAAATATATCCCTTTCAATGTTGGTCTATCGAGAAGAAGAAGAAGATGGGCCATTGAACATAGATGTTTTATAAATATTTTGTCTCAACTCTCAATATGGTTGGTTTTGGTGSCAATTAGGAAATTCTTTTTCTGCCTTTGGGTATATAATGCTTGATGTAACTAACTAAAGTTGAATATAATCTTAATTTTGTCTAAGTGTTGCCATGACAGAAGAAAATGCTGTTTCCCTTTGGGTATACTTGCTTATGATATGGTGTATGTGTGACTCTTAGATATGTTTTTACAGTGTCTTACTGTATTGCTTTTAGGGTCTTTTTACCCTTTTAATGAACTATCCTTACCTTTCTCATGAAAATGACATATTTGTCACTCATACCTCTTTTCTACTATTAATACTTAATGTTTTCTGTGGGCATTCTATTATCTAGGATCCCCTCTTCTTATGATATGACATGTCTGTGACTCTTGGTTTTCTCATTTCTGCTATTAATATTCCTTTTTTTCCTCTTGGCATATATATTACTAGGATACCAACTATAGGAGGAAAGGAGCTAGACTTGCATCGGCTCTTTGTGGAAGTGACTTCACGCGGTGGCATTGAACAAGTGAGATTGAACAATCTACATCTTGTTGTTTTACTTCTCATGCTTATTCTGATCTTGTTCGTGATTTCTATGGTGGATTACATGTGTAAGGAATTTAATGTTGTTTGTATTCATTTTCTATATATGATCACATTTTGTCTTGCATACATCATATTTAAGATGAAGTTTCTTTCCTTCTTTTCTATCAAAAATAAGTTTGATGTCCTTTTTAAGTAAAGTACTGGATATTTATATCATAGTTCAGATGTAGAATTTATAAAAAAAAGGCCAATATTTAATGCAGAATCTTGAGATGGGTGGATTTGATACAAACCTAAATTTGTTTTTTTTTTTGGCACGAGGTGGTTCAAACTAATGGCCTCAAGCTTGTTTGCCTGAGGATTTGCCGTTGCACCAAGTGGTAGCCCATGGGAGTACAACTTGCACTATAGCTTGTCTTGTTGTGTTGTATAGAAATGCAAATCTTGATGAAGATGCATGTTGCCTCTTATATAGCGTAAAAATTTACTTGCTTGTTGAAGGAAACATAGTTTTTTTATATTAACAATGCTGTTGATATAGGGTCACCTTCTCTAATAACAATTGTGTAGGATTGGCTCATGGTTTCTCTAATAACCAAGTGACGTATGATGTCTATAGTGCAAGGGTGAGTCTATGAAGATATTGGTATGCTAGAATGGGGTTTAGGGAAGGTTTAAGGACTAAGAAAGATCTCCTTAGGTTGGAATAATCCTGGGTCAAATCGCTAAAGATTGCATATTCTCTGTTCGACGATGGAAAATAGAAAATAAAAAACTAAGTGTAGAGATGGAATTTTCTGGTGAAACTTTGTAGAGATATTTTGAATGATGGGTTGAAGTAGTGAGAAGGAACTTTTAGTTTCAATGAAAATAACAAGGGTTTCCAATTCTGAAAGTAATTACTGATGGTTTGGCACAAAAAAGGACAAAAATGATTCAAACAAGGAATTTTAGTTTCAATTAAAATAAAAGAACACATACATTGATCAGTTTCAGCCTGTAGAGAGATTGGGCTGAATGGGCCCTAGCCCATTTCTATCTTATTGATTAGTTCTTCCTGTTATTTGTTCTTAATGGGTCTTTTCTTTATGGGCCTTTTATTCTCTATGTTTTCTAAATATGTTGATGAGGTGGATGCCCACTTAAGGGCAGACTTGTAATTTATGTAATCTTAGTAAGATTAATAAAAGATTAGAGGAGAGAGAGGAGATTATCGAACTCCTTTCTCCCTTCTCCATTCTCCCTTCTTCTTGTTGTCTTCTTCTTCTTCTCTTCCTCTTTTGTTATAATCTGAAATATTTTTACTATTTTTATTGGTCTGAATCACATCTTGGTATCAGAGCAGGTCTTCCTTCTCCCTTTTATTTTTATCTTTTCTTTTCCCATACACCTTTTGATTAGAAGAGTGTATGGAGAGATAAGTTGTTGATTATTCAGAGAACTTGTATGCCTAGTTGGTAGAGGGTTTGTAGACTTAAAATTTGACTGTAGATTGCCAAGAAAGTGGGGCTGTTGATTTTACCCTAGTTGGCTAGAGAGTTTCCAGTTATAGGTTAAAGAGACTATTTAGGTGTGGTGCTCAAGGCTTGGAGGGTTCCTTTTGATCTCCAAAAGTTGGCAGTTGCAGTTGGAAGAGGTTTGTGAAGCTCTGGTTGGAGCGACTACTTCTTCTCTCTTTCTCCCCGGAGGCCAGGTACAGTCGAACCTTAGTTTTGGGATTTTTAAGTGTTGGTTTGACCTTAGTTAGGTCTATAAAGCTTGAAAACCTTGTTTTTTGATTTTCGTTTGATCCATGGAGCAATCTGAAAGTGAGATGAAGCAGATCCTGGTGTCGGGGGTTGGTTCCGTAGATTCCATTTTGACAGGAGTGACTACAACCAAACTTGATGGAACATATTATTTAGCTTGGGCACAATCTATAAAGATTCATGCCTGTAGTAGAGGTAAATAGGGTTTCTCGCGGGTAGTAAGGAGAAATTGGAAGAGACTGATCCTACATATGAGAAATGGATGCAAGATAAATGCACAGTTATTGGATGGTTGGCAAATTCTATGCAGCCCCACATAAGTCAACATTATTTTTGGATGACATCAGCCAAGGAGATTTGGGGTGGTGTTACAGAAACATATTCTCAGAAATTGAATGTTGTAAGGGACTACAAACTGAAGAATGATGTGAAAAATTTGAAACATGGGGAGAAGAGTGTAGTTGTCTACTACTCAATGTTGAAGTCACTATGGTAGGAGATTGATGTTATGGAAGCAGTTGTATGGGAAAGCACTTAGGATGCAGAGACATTCAGGAAATTTGTGGAAAGAAACAGGGTATTTGAGTTTCTTACAGGACAACCCTGAATTTGATATTACGAGATAGAATATTTTGGTTAAGGATAAAGTAACACTTGCTTAGGCATATTCTATGGCGAGGAGTGAAGAGAGCAGGCGATAAGTATAGCTACAGGGTCSACCACCTCTAGAACATTTTGCACATGCTGCAATAAAACCAAAGGAGCTAACTAAAAAGAAAGAGGTGATATGTGAATACTGCAAGAAACCGAAACATACTTATGATACTTGTTGGAAACTTCATCTAGATATTCCAGATAGGTTTCAGAACAACAACTTTAAGAAAGGTGGCAATATGGAAAGCCTAAGAATGCAAGTGTTGCTATAGCTCCTGAAGGTGGAAATAGAGAAAGTGAAGAAAAATCTGTTGTGGAGCAGTTAGCAGCTGTGAAGGCAGAATTTTAGAGATATGGGAGGTAAATTAATCACTTAGAGATTACTGTTGCAGCTTCCTCCTTAGGCAACACCTGTTCATCCGCATTTGTCCATTCAGATATTCGTGCTTTTGCAAATCATACTATAGCCTTAGTTAATTGTAGAATTCCTTGGATTATAGATTCTGGTGCATCAGACCATATGACCAACATATCTAACCTTTTTTGTTCATACTAGTTCCTCTTTGGTAGAGATCAGATTTCCCTTGTTGATGGGTCTCTTGCTCCCATCTCTGGTAAAGGGAATATTAGACCCTCTGATTCCCTTGTTTTTGTCCTCTGTCCTTCATGTTCCCAAACTTAACACTAACCTTTTATCTGTTAGTATCTTAATTAAATTAATGAATTGTAGTGTAACCTTCTTTCCTACTCGTTATGTTTTTTAGGACTTGAAAACTCAGAGGACGATTGGGAGTGGCCATGAGGCGAATGGAATATATTTGTTGGATATCTTTGATCAAAGTCCTAGACCACCTAGTGGAGTAGCTTTGGGGTCTCTCATTAGAGTTAGTTAGACCTGTTCATGAGCCGGGCTCAGGCTTGGTTTTTGTCAAAATTCTAATGGGCCCAACCCGAAGCCTGAGCCCAAGACAGTGTAAAATTGGGCCCAAAGCCCAACCGATGAACAAGTCTAGAGTCAGTTCATAGAGTCATGTTATGTCATTTGAGATTTGGTCATTTGTCTTTTTTAGTTTTAAGTCATTTTGTTTTCAGAAATGTTTAAGGGAATATCCCTATCGACTCTTCATTGTGGGTCATGTGAACTTGCAAAACATTGTAGACAATCTTTTTCATTGAGTAATTAAAGGTCAGTTTCTCCTTTCCATATTGTGTACTCTGATGTATGGGGGCCATATCATTTATCTGCTATGGGGGGTTACAAGTATTTCATTCTTTTCATTGATGAATTTTCTCGTTACACCTGGATTTATCTTATGAGATCTCAGGCATAGTTGTCAAGGCAACACCTAGGCGAGAAGGTGCCCTTGGAGGCTCACCTCGCTTAATTGCCAAGCAGTTTTCTATAGCGTGTTATAAAAACCTTTAATTCTTAATTTTTTGAGGTTATAATTATAAAATAGACATTTTTAAACTAAAATATTCATTTTGTGTGTTTATATAGTAATTTCTTTTTACTATTTTCTTATTTGTTAGGTTTAATCAACACAAACATTACTAAATGCTGTATTGAACCCTCAGATTTCAAAACCTGAACCAATAAGAAAGAACATAAAGTGTTGTCCAATCAACTCATTTTCTTCTTTTCCTTTACTAATTTTGTGTGTGTATATACTAMTTTCTTTTTCTTCTTCTTACACCTTTTCTTTTCTTCTTTTCCTATAACAGAAATAGGGGTTTAGCCCCTATATTTTTTGATCTTCTATACTTTAGCATGAAGTTTGTACTTTTCATATGAAAATTATGAATATTAAGGAAATATGATTATGGAACCTAGCAAACCACCCTAGGATACATGTTTTTACTTAAAAGAATCCATCGCTTAGGCACTTGACTAGGTGACTAGGCGACAAGGTGCCCCCCTGTCATCTAGCCTTGCCTTGGCGCCTTGAAAACTATGATCTCGGGATGAACTGCCCAATATTGTACAAAAATTTCATGAACTTATTCTTACCCAGCTTAATACTTGGATCAAAATATTCCGATATGATAATGCAAAGGAATATTTTGAGAAGAGCCTTTCCTCCTACTTTGATACCTTTGGAGTTATTCATTAAAGTTCTTGTTCCTACACTCCACAATAAAATGGAGTGGTGGAAAGGAAGAACCGACTTGTCGTTGAGGTTGCAAGGAGCCTTCTTTTTGCTTCTCATGTTCATGTTAAGTTTTGGGGGGATGTTGCCCTTACAGCTACATGATAAACCAGACGCCTTTCCGAGTTCTGGGTTTTAAAACCCCCTTTAACCTTCTATTTCCAAATGAGGATCTCTTCTCTCTCTCTCCGAGTATTTGGGTGCACTTGTTATGTTCATATTCATAGTCATTAGAGACATAAGTGTGTCTTCTTGGGATATTTCTCCACACAAAAGGGGTATTGCTGTTTTGATCCAGTTTGTGGCACTCGCTTTGTTTTCGGAGTTGTCACATTTGCTAAGTCTGTTCCTTTCTTTGGTACTTCTCTTGAGGGGGAGCATTCAGAGGAGTTGTTTGCGATGTTTCCATTTGTCCCTCTTCCAATCCC